GGTAGTAATATGGTACCCAACCAAAACCCACTGCAGTCTCTTGGTAAGATTTTTAATAATCATTGTTTTCCCCTCCGGCCGGCTTCTCATAGCGGGTGTCCCCCTTGGAGGTCTAATATTTAATACGCATTGGAGACTTGACTTGTATTTACTTGTCGTATTTATTCCACTTCCAGCCAAAGTTAATGACTGCCAGGCTCCCACATCCGTCTCTAATGCGTTTTATTCAAAGCATTCCAGAAACTCGCTCTGCTCCTTTTTAATTCGCATTTAATGTACTCTAGCTATACAGCCCCGTCCGTTTTATTTATAAGGTGCATTCCCTGCTTTATGTTTTATATCAATTTGTTTTTCACGCCTGATTATTTAAATAAAATCACTATAAAAGATAAAAGATGCCGGCGATCTGCGAGCACATCACTGTTTTTGAATAGGGCCAATAGATTAAGGTTCTGTTACATTTGGAATACTTATATGCTATCTAAATGCTAATGAGCTAATTGATATTTGTAGGGCATGCAAAACACGGGCAGAAACTGGAGCAGCAAGTGCGTTTGAGCAACTTTCCTGTAAGAAGGACGATATTATCTCAAACCACAGTGATATGAAAATAAATAAATGAGATTACTGCAGTAGGGATGTAACAATAACCAAATATCGTGATGTGATATATCGTCAAAAGTTGTGGGGTATCAGAATATATCCAATTACAAGTTCCTTTGCTTAAATGTATTGTTTTACAGTAGCAACATCTTATAGACTTGGGGAACTACATATCCCATGATTCATTTCAGCGCAAACATGAAGACAAACATGTTTTTTACTTGAATTCTTGGGATTACGACCGAAATAATTCACACCAAAATTTTGTTAAAGTATTTTAAAAGCAAAAAAGTGTCCTATCTACAATTATTATATTAGCCTCTGCAAAATATCGGAATAAATATCGTACCGTGAGATGCATATCGTGATAATATCGTGCAGAGAGCTATTGTTACACCCTATATGCAGTACATATATGAAGTCGTGTATGTATATATATTTGTTTCAGGTAAATGAAGTTGTCATCTCATGTTTCCAAACGTCTTCCTGGTTTGAGACGTAAGCGTGAATAGAGCCTAAACACTCTCTATACGCCTTCACTAGAATCATTTGGATAATTTCAGCCCTGGATTTCCAAAGTTATTTACTTGAAAACTACCGCTTCATGACATCACAAGGTGGAACTGAGCATTTTGAGCGTTGAAGATGGACTAATAAACCAGGGTTACTGAAACACGTGTGAATGAAACAAAACACAAAAAGTCCAGGTATGTTTTTGGTGACATAACATGGCTTAAAACGCACAAGAGTCAATTTTGCATCATGTAGGACCTTTATGTAGGTTAGTGTTAACTCATAAAACTTTTCAGAAGGTTTAGTATCTTAATAGTTCATATTTTTTGTCTTGTTGAAATTAACTTTTGCTTTTTTTTTTATATTGAGTCATGCAAATGTTTGTGGGCTGACATCATAAAATGGCCTCCTACTTGACTCAACCACTGGTCACTTTTGAAAGAATATTATGTTTAAACGGGGGGTATTCTGCAAAATTCAGATTTTCTTCTTTAATAATTATAATGTTCCCTTGTCAAAAACATGCCTGAAGAGGTTTTAAAAATCATCCATGCATGTTTTTTGGCGTATTATTAGCATCTCTCCTAGGCACTAATCGAACCTAATCGATTTTAGCTGTAAAATCCCATTCATACCTACATTTGTTTTGGAACGTACGCATTTTCAAAACAATAAAGTAACATGGTGATTTAAATACCACATGTGTTAACAGTTAAACCCCACAGAAGTAAAATACTAAGACAAATTTTGATTGACGTATTTATATTTCTAGAACAATACATTTATGTGGACTAGATTTGTCTCTCATAGCTGCACCCATTTTGTTTTTGTATCTTCACGATATCGAGTTAAAAGTTGACGAAAATGAATGCAGTGAGCCGATTCGGAAAGAGCGTTATCTTGACAGTTTTGTGTTCTTTATTGTTGCTCTCTTAATTAAGACTTTGACGACTGATGGATTCACCTACAGTCTTTCATTGTGCTAGTTTCGGTGACGCAGACGGCATACTCTATTTATTTCAAGTTTAAGTCTGAAAGTCAGGTTTGTTTTGGCGCTCTCATGTGCATTGCATTTAATTTATATTTGGTTTCATTATATTAGGATTTCTTTATAATATTTTAAGGTGGAGCACGAATTGTTCCTGTAAATCTGCAGTATTGTTTGACATTTCACTGTATTCTAAACCTTTTTATCGATATACTTGCTTTGGTGTATATGAAAAGAGCAATAGATTAGAACTTTGTACATTTATCGAGGCATTTCATCGAATTCATAGACTCATTTGTGTACTGCTCCACCCTCTGTAGTCTTTGCAGTCTGGCTGATCCTGAGCCAACACTTTAATGGCATGTGGCCTACTGTACTGCTGAAATATTACATCTGGAGAGGTTGTGCTGCAGAAATAAGTAACCCATGTGGGAGCCAGGCAGTGTGTAGGCTGGCGGAGAGGGCAGCCCATTGACTGTCTGTGTGCGTGTCTCTGCGTATGTGTGCGTGCGTGCCTGTGTGTGTGTCTGTGCGCGTGTGTGCGTGTGTCTCTGCGTGTGTGCGTGCGGCAGACGGTGGAAGCGTGTAGGCAGCCGGAGCGGAGCTGTCCGTGGTGCTGATGCTGCTGCAGACTCTACGTGACACCGCGTATGTACCCGTGTAAAACACAATGTACCAGGAGCTTGTTGGCTTCACGTGGGGGCGCATGTAAAAGAAAGCACCTGTATCTCACTCTCTGATGATAAAAACCAGTGTGTTCTGCTCTTAGATCTCGCTGCCACTTCTCCAGCGCGCAGCTTTCCCGTCTTGTGCTGTGCGTACGTCTCCGTGAGGCGGTGTTTGACTTCAAATGCCATATTTAGGAAAAACGCTTGATGTCTTTGAGTGACTGCGGCGACGGCAAATGGCGTGCTCTGATGTGAGTGCTCGTCGAGGAGCGTGCGAGAGCCAATGGCAGGGGGCGTGGGGGGAGCGGCGGAGGAGTATCCGTCCGCGGACAGTGCGCGAGTGGTCGGTGTAGGCTGCGAGCGGAGAGATACGGGCGCGGTGTGGTGCGGTGCTATATAACGCGCGGCAGGACTATGTTCTTTTTAAAGAGAACCTCCTCCTCGCGTTGTTTCCACTCAGTGATGTCGCGTATTTGTGTGGCGCACCTGTAAAGAGCGAGACAGGCACAAGCCGGCTTTTTAATTCTTTGATTCCTTTTATTTATTCTTTTCCTTTTTGTTCCCTTTTGTTCCATGCATTTGCTCACTGGAAATCATTTGTGTGTTTTTATTTAATAAATATTTCATTTCCTCATTTTATATTGTTTGTGTTTGATTTTATGTTCTTAAGTTTGAGCTAAACAGAGCGGAATTCACCATTTTACGAGCTATTGGCCAGGTGATTGAGATTGTTTGCCTAAGGACGTCCATAACTTTCATTTGTAGAAACGGTAAGATATTTTTACGCATTTGCTCCTTGAACTGAAACCTTGTCAGATGGTGTTGTTTGAGCAGCCTGTCATGTCTTGGGAGGCAGAATACTACTGTAGCTCTTTGCATGCGGAGCCATAGGACAGTGTCGTGGTGCATTCATGGCTCCACGCTGACGACGCTCTACTCGTTTGTGGTGATTGTACTTGAGAGACTGAGGAGAAGTGGGCAGTGTCTGCACATGTGGCCATTTCCACAGGCTCCTGCACGGACTATTTGATCACTAACATTTCAAGGTTAGAAGGATGGTACAAGCCAAAGGGAGTGTTGCGATATTCTGGACGATTTCAGTGCTTATTAAAACAAACCCTGGATGTGCACCTGGACTTGTGATTTTCAGACAATGGTTGTTACATTGCATTTTGATCTAAATGTATAGAATAGACAAAAGCCTGTATGTGTAGTGTACACTGTAGAGTGATTTCAGCGTAGGATAGCCATCGGATGGTCGTAAAAGACAAAGGCAGACTGGAGGGCAGCTCCTGACTTCTCAGAGTGGCTGGGCTTAGACAATAAGAGCACTTTGATAAAGGGACGCATGTGGTGCTTAGTTGTTTTGATAGTAAAGTAGAAAAACTGTATTTTCATACTTTTTTTTGCATAGAGATCCAGAAACTATTGTAATCGCTTATTTGGACATTGACCATTTACTAAATTGCAGGTTGTAGCATAACTGAGTTGTGTAAAAAGTGCCTTTGCGTGTTACTGGTATGATATGTGAAGTAACATTCATATTACAACATGATGATAGCCCTACGTGAGTGTCTTTGTCAGAACCTTTTCCTTGTAATTTGTGTTAAAGTGCTGTCGTGGCGTTAATGGTGTAGCCAAAGTTTCCTTTTAGGGAAGAATATTTCTAGTAGCCTAAATTTAATAAAAGAAAAACGGCATTGGTCTGTTGGAGATGAAATTACATTGGTGCAATGGCAGAGGCACAGCATCAAATAGTAAATGCTCTACATAAAGGAGTGATGCTGTCGTTTTAAAGATTTCAAACAGTCTGTTTGACTAGGCCTAGGGTAGCCCACATTTGCGTTGTCAGTTTTATTGATGCTCTTCTTGGGTAAAGTCTATATTTAGACAAGGTTTTCAATATTATATAGCTCCATTTTAAAACCATCCCATCGCTATAGTAAGGCTGGTAAATTATGGATGGGAACGTCTGTCCTGTAGGCAAAAAGGTCACAGCGAGTTCAGAAAAAACTAAATTTAATTGAATTTAAACTTCCAGAAATGGCACTAGTTAAATATTTAAAGCGTGTGTTATATTTCGGTTGTGTTTAGTTTAGTGCAGCGCTAAACCACTGTACACCTGCGCCAAATTGACTAATGGTTCATTTCCGGGTCCAAACTTTAGCTCTATTCTGATTGGTTGAGCGTCTAATTAGTTTATTTGGGGTGGCCGCGTTCCCGCCACCGCCCCCTAAACCCTGCGGAAAGACTGCGACCTAACGCTCATGTCTGCAGACATTACACCGGTAAATAACGCTGCAACCGCCGAATAAACATCTCCAGGTAAGATCAGAGCGCGATACAAATGTGCATCATAAAAGGCTCGCAGCGCACACTTCATGAGTGTTACGGGAGCGGGCAAGGCCAAACCGAAAGTAGACTCACAGCGTCACGAAAGCGCTAGCCCAGGCTCCTCTGTGCTTTATCACATTTAAATACACTTTTAACATGTTTCTTTACACGACAGATATGATTACACGATAGCAGCAAAGCTTAATCTGAGATGTTAAAACGACTTATTTTCAGAGCACGCCGTCTCTGCTAGCTTGACATGTGAAAGTCCTCCATGTAAAAGGCCGATAGTCCAGAGCACCTGCAGTACAGCGGTGCGGGACACTACCCCTGGTCCCTACTCTGGTGTCTGGTGCTCTGTGGCGGTCTTTACTGGTCTATAGTTGTTGTTTTATTGGGTGTCTGGCCTGGTTTGTGGCGCACATTGCCGCGGTCTCGGGGCTCTGCTGCAGCGGCCATGGCCTCGCGCAGGTGCCGCTCATTAATTAACTCATCAGCGGCTCCCTCACGCGCCCAGGACACAGGCGCGTGGACACGGGCCTCACACAGACCACCACCACACTTCTGCTTTTTTGTCTTCTACATGTCCACTTTGACCTTCTTAACCCTTCAAAAATCACCATTTAACTGGAAAAATGTCCAAATAATCCAAGTATTCTCTCAAAGTTGTTTCTAATGTCCGCATACTATGTTGGTAGCACATTTTATAAAGCCTATAATCAAACTTGAATACATTAGCTCCAGGCAGGGCTCAGCTTGGGTGTCAAATGTGGAAATGGAAGGTTATAAATGCAGGTGCTTATTTCTCTAAACACACGTCTGAAGGATTGCTTGTGATTTTGCTTTACTGTAATTGTCCATAGTTTGTTTTTGTAGGAGCAGAGAGGGAAGCGTTGGCACTTGTTATTGCTCATGATCATATAGTCTAAAAATACACAGATAGCACCACTTGCGTTATGTATTATTGAGTCTTTCTAAATAAAGGCTGCTGCGGAGGGAGCTGAATGCGGTACAAGCCCGGGATGACCAAAGACCTCATCGGACCATTGTCCACAGCACTAGGAACTGTATCAGAACAGGTTTTAGCGTATGAAATAGGGTGTTTAGAAGTATCAAAAATCAGATGCTACTAATGATTAAAATTAGTATGGAAACTAAATAGTCATTTTGAGCAGGTACTGATACCAAGGGTCAGATTCACAGGACGGAAAATGACAAATGAAACTTTCCTGAATAGTGTTAGAATGATCTTGAGCTGTTTCAGAACAATTATAAGAGCACATAGACAAGTGGACCACAATGAAACCTACCTGGACCACTGAGAGACCGCACAGATGTAAGGCCACATGGGAATATAAAAGAAAGTACAGAGTGTTTTTATTTTCATTGTAGTATCTGAATCCGTATTGTGTATCAAGTCTATTCCTTCATACTGAAATCGCGTTTGAAATGTTATGACACTAGTAAAAATATATGCACGATAATAATAATACATTTTTGCCACTTATGCAATAATCTTCAGGGTTCCCACGGTCATGGAAATCCTGGAAAAGTCATGGAAATTGAAAATGTAATTTCCTAGGCCTTGAAAAGTCATGGAATCTCTTCACGCAACTACAGCGTTCTGCTAAATTATCATAGGTATAGACTATTATGATTATTTCCGAACATATGCGCCTTTTGTTTAAAAAACTATAATAAATGCACTGACAGTATTTTAAATGTTAAACTATAATACCAAACCATAAGGTGAGTGGAAGGGTTAATATTTCATATTTAACCCTAAACGTCTGATCAATTCTACACATGTAGGTGCCGTAAAGTCAAGGAAAATTCAGTTTAGGTCATGAAAAAATCATGGTTTTGAAATTTTGTCAGTGAAAGAGTGGGAACCCTGAATCCTAGAGCAGGATTATCCCTAAAAAGACGCATAGAGCGATTATGAAACACTTTCAATAACAAGTTAGCCACTGCTCAAATCTTACTGTAGAACAGAAAAATACCACAAATGTAACTGTTCTCCCAATACTAAAATTCCAAACTCTTTCAATACTAAGGAATAGACTCAATACTCATTTCCAACTCTATTATTTTCTATTACTATGCAGTATTATATCTGTGTGATCCTTCAGTCGTCACATACATTAGTACTAGTCTATGTGCTCTTGTACTTGTTCTGGTACAGCTCAAGATCTTTCTAAAACTATTGAGGAAAGGTTCATTTCTGTCCCGTCAATGTGATTCTAGTTATTTTTTAGTATTACTACTTGTTCAAATGAGTCCAGTTTTGTTAGTAGTCTTAGTATGTGATTTTTTGATACTTTTGACAACCCTGCTGTATCGACATTAATACTGAATAACGTGTGAGGTGCAGACATGTAGGACACATTTACTAAAACTATTTCTTTATGACTGTCCTTTTACAATTCTGCTTTGCTTTAGAAAAGGCTCTGACAATATGCAGCTGTAGGATTTATTTTTTTTTGGTGGTGGTATAAATGAGCTTGAATATCTTTGTGTTTTGTGATTTGTCTGTAGTGATATATAGTTCTTGAACGCTTCAAGTAGTCCTCAGTCTGCACTACAAGGTCACATTGGACTACAGCGGACAGTGCATCTGACAGTGGTTTTAGGCGCTCTGTGTCAGCGGAGTTTGGTTTGTGATGACAGGTGAAACCACGTGAGCTCTGTCTGTGTGTATCTGTGTGTGTGTGTCTGGCTGGCTGTGTGTGTATGGATATGGGGGGGGGAGTTCATCTAGAGCTTTCTCTGCTCCTTCATCTGAATCAGATCCGATAGAGGTACAGGGCTGTGGTGGGGCTGTAGTGTTCAAGGACTCACTGTGTGTGTGTCTGTGTGTACGTACGTGTGTGTGGGCGAGTGTGACTTTGTGGGGATTGGAGTGATTGGACTTGCCACTACGTGGACAAAATACTGGTGTGTGTATGGGATAAATCCCTCAATATTAGCTCTGTGACATGGTTTAAAGTTCAGATATGGGCTGATTTAGGATCAGTCTCCAGGAACTGAATGTAATATCCCTAAAAGCATGGAAACCCAACGTCTGTCTGTGTGTGTGTTGTGCAGTGTGTGTGTGTTGTGCGTTGTCTCCACACACAGCAGTGATACAGCAGCAGCTCCACAAACACACACAGGCTGCTGCTGCTGGTGCTGCTGCTGCTGCTGCTGCTGCTGCACTCTGAGGGACTGGCCCCCGTGTTTACACACACTTCTTGTGGAAAACATGTGAATATGAGGACAGGTGCAGAGTCTAGAAATAGATTTCTTCAGAAATATAAATATAAATAGGGAATTATGATTTGAACATATGTAAATGTGTAATATTATGTATGTTGTAATAAATTTGTAGATTTAAAGTGAAAATGAAACAAACTTGTGTTGTAAACTTGAGGGAATGAAGTGAGGCACACAGGATTATTTTTGTCCTTTCACATTTGTCTGGCATTTGTATCTCACAGTACATTTAAAGAGATGTTTGTGGTGGACTAACGTAACGTTGTCTGATACAATACATCAATACATTTTTGTTAACATGACTCAGCCATAATGTGAGTCTGTTTAATGATGTTAAAGTAACTCTTACAGAGGCCTGTCCTGTGAGCCACTGTCTGACTCTTACGGACACATGTGGAGGCCCAGTCTGAGGAGCAGCTACTGTACACACACGCGTGTGTGTGAGTGCGTGAGTGTGTTTGAGTGTGAGACTCCAGAGGACAGGCCTGGCTCTCTCCGAATCTCAGTGAACATTTTGGGAGCGGCGCGGTGCCAGGCGTGTGCTCCAAGTGTTTATCTAATGAAATCTTTGTGCCTTGTGGCTCTGTCTGCAGTGGGACAATAGCCAACACTTGTGCTTTGTACTCGCAGTAAAAGGTGAAACGTCAAACTCACTCACGCTCGGCACTCTCACTCAAACAATATGTTGTTTTGGCACATCCACCGAGCTGCACTCTCCTCCTCCACTCACCAGGAGCACCTCACTCTACTGCTGCTGTACGCCAGAGCTGTGGAGCAGTGCTCTGTCACATGACTCAGCACCTGTCATTCAGGGCCTGGGTGCACCTGTGACATCACTGTGACATCACTGAGCTGCTCATGCTCCGTCTGTGAGGAGCTGAATCTTTAACAGCCTGGTACATGTGTGTTATGTAAAGGGGCTGGTGCAGGGAGTCTAGTCTCGTTTAGTCTCATGGTGATGTCGTCTGAGCCTCACATGAGTGTGCAGTGTGCAGTGTTGAATGGTTCAGTGTTGAATGGGTGCAGCCTGTTTTTATTCCAAACACTGTCTAAATGTGCTCCTGACGTGTGACGTGGGCCTTGTGTGGACACGTCTCTCAAGAGCCTGGTGCTGTGGAGGTGCTCAGTGTGAGGGGCCAACAGGTCATCAGCAGGAGGAGTGTGGATGAGGAGTTTGGTTGTTTTTAGTGATTTCTTTGGGCTCTACTTAAATGGCCGAGACAGTCATAAACATGGTGTGTGAATGATGCTCTTGTCTGAACACGTGGACTATAGACGCTGTAGAGAGTATATACAGAGTGTGTCGAGAGTATATAGAGTATACAGAGAGTGTATAGAGTGTAGATGCCTGTGGCCCCCTCCCTCCCCTCTCTCCCTCGCTCTGTGACATGTGCTGCCCTGATGCTGTGTGCTGTTGATCTAACTGAGTCTTCTGTCACATTTCAGACGCTCCTCCTCCCCTCTGTCATGGCAGTCAGACTGTGCGATGTGGCCTCTCTGCTTAGGAGCGGGTCGTGGGCGCCTGAGCCTTGGACTGGGGTCTGTGGCATTTCTCTTTAACTCGTGTCAGTGCTCGGGCCATACCAATGTGGCCACGCTAAACAACAGCACCTCACATGGGTTTAAAGCTTGTCTGTATTGGTATGGTCTCATGCAGTGTGTGTTATGCTAACGCTAGCTGCTCGTGGTGTCCTCCGGTGCATGTGGGATCTAAAGGATGACTCTTCACACATTCTCTGCTGTTGTCTGAGGCTGCTGTGGCTGCACTCCAGGGCTGCTCTCTCTACTCCTCTGATCCTTGCACTGTACACAGCCAATTCGAGTCACTACTACACACACGAGTTCACTGGGGATGGGACGAGGCACAGCACAATTTGACTTCATATCAGATCAATTGTTCAATTGTGTTTCTGTCCAATCTCACTTTTTTGTTTAATATTGCTGCTGTTATTGTAGCGCTGCTTTTTGGGACAACAGTTTCTCAAAAGGTGTAACTTAGCAGTGCTTAGAGGTGGGAGATGTATTTAAAAATGGATAGTATGACACAGTTGTTTTGGAGATATGCAAATAAAAATATAGATTATAATGTCAAGTGTCTAGTGTAATCTCCCAAACACTGTACATTTATTTCTGCACTTTTGTGGTTAACTTTGGTCCGTCGATGTTTTGTGCGATAATTTTTGAATATTCTTATCAAGATAATGCAAAAAAAAAAATCTAAATTGATTATCACCCACCTCTACGAGCGCTTAACCCTTTAAACACGTGGAACAAAATGTCACTAGATAATTTTTCACATGTGCACAGTTTTGAGGCAGTTTTATCTGTGGATCTTGTCCCATCCCTAGAATGCCCCACCCAAAGCCTCTGTGTGTTCACATGGGCTCACGTCTTAGCAAATGTCTGAAGAGCGTCCTTTTAGACAGGGCCCGAGCCTCCTCTGTGCGGCAGAACCAGCTCTGACTTGTCTCTTTGTCTCTTTAGCAGGTAATTGCTGCCATGGAAACACAGCTGTCCAATGGGCCCACATGCAACAACACGAGCAACGGGCCGTCCACCATCTCCAACAACTGCTCATCACCTGTGGAGTCGAGCAGCATCGAGGACAGTAAGACCAACCTGATCGTCAACTACCTGCCCCAGAACATGACCCAAGAGGAGCTCAAGAGCCTGTTCGGAAGCATTGGAGACATTGAGTCGTGCAAACTAGTGCGGGACAAGATCACAGGTAAAACATACACGTGTCTAATCAGCCTCATATTGTGAGATTTTTGTACAATTTTAGAATGTTCCCAAAATATTCCCCAAATGACAGCGTGTAATTTAATCTGATCTGAAGCTCATGATGGAAGTGCACGCATCGTTTGGAGCGATGTTTGTATATGCTGACCAGAGCAGGGCTGTGCAGGGCGGTGGTCCCAATATCTTCTCTGAACTCCCAGAGGCTCACAGAAATATATTAGCAAACCACTGGCACTGTAAACTTTAGCACTGCTTTGTTTAAACATCTGAGGCTTTTGCCACTGAACTATTTTGGATCTCGTGTGTGGACATTAGTTCAAAATATGTGTTGGAGACTTAGTGCCCGTCCACAGCTCGCTCCAGCCCCCGGAGCTGTTTATGTCCATCCCACATTTGACCTGCACACACCTCGTGTGTGTGTGGTGTCCCTGTGAGCGCACGGTCAGTAGGCGTGAGCTCGTTGTGAGCAGGTGACTACAGCTCGTAAGCCCCAAACACTGTAACCTTTCTTTTTAGGGTGACTCATTTGATCTGTCCAGGGACTACAGATAAAATGTGGGGTATTTATAGAAATGGTCATTAATGTAAATTGTCTCTGTCAAACAAATAAACCAAGTAAACTGTACAACACAATGGAGGAGCTGAAATCCATCCCAATTTATAAAGTTGTATGGTTAGAATTTGTGTCAAATTCAGCCTGAAAATCACAGTATGAGCCCGGCCTAATGTGACATCAAGATCACAGGTTATAGACACACATGTGGCTAATGGGGACATCAGAATGGGTGTGCGACATTAAAGTCCTAGAGACAAATCCTAAATTTAAACTCTTGCTGTTTTTTGCAGTCTGCAGTCACCCAGACATCTCGGTGTACAGTAGAAGTATCATTTGACTCATTGTTTCCAAGTGGACTAATTGCAAAAATCGCTGAGTAGCCGATTACTAAATTATTGTTGCTTACAGCCCTACTCTACAATAAAGCATTTACATCATGGCACCTTTGTCCCCATGAGAGGCACGTCCCCAAGAGCTGAATGTGCAGATTTTAGTCACCACAATGTGATAAATACCTGCTCACTCCCCCACACACTCACGACCAACAAACTGAACGAACAAACTCACTGCTCATGTGTTTGACTCGAGACACCAGCACACTGATGCACTTGTGGCGTTTAGGGAGTGTTCAGGATTGTCCTTGTTGGGACCTGGTTTGGTCCCGGCTCTATGTACACGTTTACCTCTTGGACTCTGAAAAGGCTCCTTGCAGATGCAGGTTGCAGAATACACTGGTGTGACTTTAAATGGCTTTAGCTTTAACACTGAATGGAGTATTTTTTGACTGACAGACTGATTTTATTGGAATTCCCCTGGGGGGGGGTCCAAAAAGTGAGTGATGTGAGGCATGTGTCTCCTAAACCCTCAGAGGAGATCTGAATATTAGTGCCTTTTGGCGTGTCACCTTCACACTGGCTGTGGACCGTTCAGTGACATTTGAGCTCATTGGTCGTCACTTTCAGTACTACAGTGAGATTCACTCTGGCTCTTTGTCTGTGGCCTGTAAACACGTCTTTGAGTCCACCTTAAATCTGAATGGAATTATGAGGATTTGTATCGAGCACTGCAGAAAGCAGAAAGATTTTTACTGCTCCACTGTTGTATAATGTATGACACATTCATGGGTTTCGGCTTCCTCTTATCTGTGAATGGGGGGAAAAAAATCCTCAAAATGACAAAAAGTACAATTTGTTAAATGCTATGGCAACATTAGATCAGTGTGGAGCCTGTGTATAGAGCAGCCAGGTGCATGCTGCAGGCTCCTATAGCGGTCTTGAGAACAGGCTAGCACAGAGCACTTTTACACTGAAGCAGCATGTGATCACACACACGGTCCTCCTGTGGATGGATCAGTCAATGATGGGAGATAAAGTTTTACAATCAAATCCAAGTTGCTTATGCGGCGCTTTAATGTGCTGAAGCGGCTGGAGCGGTTGAACTTGACCGGTGCAGATTGTGTAGAGACCCGTGAGTGGGAGGAGGAAATGGAATTGGCTGTGTGCGCGTCGAGTGGGTGTCAATCTATTGTACAGTCTGAGATAAACTGTGGGGAAGAGGAGGAGGGGGGCTCTCTCCTGTGGGACTGACTAAAATGAATAACTCCATATTGGGGACTGTTGAATGTGTGAGCCGTGTGTGGTTTGTTGTTTTTGACAGAGAATTGTGTGTGATTACAGGGCAGAGTCTGGGCTACGGGTTTGTCAACTATGTGGACCCGAAAGATGCAGAAAAGGCCATAAATACTTTGAATGGCTTAAGGCTTCAGACCAAAACTATCAAGGTAAGACTTGTGCTTCTGTGACAGAGAAAAGCCTATTGTTAATCTGGGCACAGCAGCCGGCTCCACTCACAACTGTTTCTATGGCATCACGGCAGCGTGCCTTCAGAGGACGCGCTATTAGCATTCTGTTAGCATTCTGCACACACTGCACAGGTCTGAAGAGCAGCAGCGCCAATATCATTATTGAACATGTAAATGGCACATGTGTTACACAAGTGTAGAAGCCCTGCTCCTCCACACATCAAGTCTAAGATGTAATATGGAGTGTTTGTGTGCGTGTCTGTGTGTGTGTCTGCCACATGTGCAGACACAGCCCTGAGTGAGGCACAGGAACATAGTCTCAACTGGAGTGTGAAGGACACAGGTTCCTCACAGCACAGCTCCATGTGAGGAGGCGCTCTCTCTCAGCCTCTGTTCTATCATTTACTTAATCCTTCAGGAGGAGTAACTCTGCTGTGTCGTGTGTCCTCAGGTGTCCTATGCTCGGCCAAGCTCCGCCTCCATTAGAGATGCAAACTTGTACGTCAGCGGTTTACCAAAAACAATGACACAGAAAGAGCTGGAGCAGCTCTTCTCACAGTACGGCCGCATCATTACCTCACGCATCCTGGTGGACCAGGTCACCGGTGAGGCCTCAGCTTACACACTTTGTGTTTAAGTTCAGCTAAATCCTGTTGATGTGTGAATGTCTTACCTGTCTGTGTGATGGTGCGGACAGGCGTCTCCAGAGGAGTGGGCTTCATCCGCTTCGACCGGCGAGTGGAGGCGGAGGAGGCCATCAAAGGGCTCAACTGTCAGAAGCCGCCCGGCGCCACAGAGCCCATCACGGTCAAGTTCGCCAACAACCCTAGCCAGAAGACAAGCCAGGCTCTGCTGTCCCAGCTCTACCAGTCCCCCAATCGAAGGTACCCAGGGCCCCTCGCACAGCAGGCACAGCGCTTCAGGTAACGGGGCACACCTCAGCACCAGAGCCATCACCCATCCTGTGGCTCTCATCTTTAGTCTGAACACACAACGCTTTAGTCTGTGTGCCCCACCCCCACAGCCGCACACACACACTCACACAGACACACACACACACTCATGCATGCACACACGCACACAGGCACACGCACACACACCTGTGTCACTCATCTGCCATGTTGTCACCATTCATCAGCTGCACACAGCACCAGCTCCTGTCTGCTCTAATGCACACCTCCTCTCTGTGTCTGTGTCTCTGTCTCAGGTTGGACAATCTGCTGAACATGGCCTATGGAGTGAAGAGGTAAATGCACTCATGTGTGTTTGGGTGTCACAGTGTGCGTTCGAGCTCATCTCCATCACAAAGCACAGGCCCTGCTATTGCACATAGTTACAGAGATGAATTGCACTCACCTTGATCTATTATGGACAGTGGTGTTGCGTCAGAGCCTTTCAGGTTTCTGCAGCGTTTGGTTTGAGCGCAGAGTCCAGCTCTGAGGACACACCTGTCATGTCCCTGTCCCCGACAAGCACTTAATGCTGCGGGACACACACTCCTTTTAATCTGCACCTTGAGTGTCAGGGGCAGCAGTAGCTTCCTGTAGCTTCATGTAGTTGCGTGTTGCTTCATGTAGCTGCGTGTAACTGTATGTATCTTGTGCATTTGTCCACAGCCGCTTCTCTCCAATGGCCATCGATGGCGTGACGAGCCTGGCGGGCATAAACCTCCCGGGCCATGCGGGCACGGGCTGGTGTATCTTCGTGTATAACCTGGCGCCAGATGCAGACGAGAGCATCCTGTGGCAGATGTTTGGTCCGTTCGGAGCGGTCACAAACGTCAAAGTGATCCGCGACTTCAACACAAACAAGTGCAAAGGATTTGGCTTTGTCACCATGACTAACTACGATGAGGCGGCCGTGGCCATCGCCAGTTTGAACGGATATCGCCTTGGCGACCGTGTGCTGCAAGTGTCGTTCAAAACCAACAAAACACACAAAGCCTGATGTGACTGTGCACAGAGACTGGACCACCTTTCTACATTAGTAAAGCTTTGTACATCTGTATTACCACGACATATTTAGCTTTGGGCGCAATTCCTTTCTGTTGTTCTTGCTATGCTTTGGGTCTCCTTTAGAGGAGTCAGACCGTCTGGACTGGTTTAAACTGGTTTAGTCTCGGGTTCATCAAAGTCTTGTACGTTTGTGTGGTGCTTTGAGTTCTGTCTATCGGGGTTTGCCTTTAGGCTCTTTGGTGGTTAGAAAGTCCTTCTTTTCACATATTTGCCGTTGAGTTGATTTGTAAGTATTCTGTTGTATTATGACTTTATGACTTGGTTATTGGTTGGCTGCATAATGTTGCATATTGTAAACTTATGGATAAAGACAAAAAAAAATTCTTAAGCAGTACCTTGCCAAAGAGCTAAGAACCTCTTTGATGTGGGTTTAAAAGCATCTATTTTTATAAAAAGAAAAATTTGGAGAAACTTTTTACTGGACCTGGAACAAAATATTTTGACTTGGATACTTTGAGAAATATCTTCATATGACACCTTGTGAGCTTTTGAACTTTACAAGAAAGTTTGCAGCGGTTGAAATTTCTGGAGAGATTTATGATGTAAAAGATACTTTTGAGATGTTTGTATTCTCTTAGATTCTAGATCAATGGCAGTGCTGGTTTCATTTGTAAATCTGTGGTCCTCCTGTCATTCTGGTGTTAGCCACTCGCTTCAGTTTGGTTTGGTAACTGACTGAGCCCAGGTTTCACGGTTCATGCTAACGCAGAGACGTGCTCTACGCAACATGCTCATGTCTTCAGAACATGCTAAAGTAGGAGCCATGTTCTTCACAGCGTGCTAATGTAGAGGCGTGTTCTACACGACATGCTAATGTAAGAGACATGCTAAAGTCAGTTCTTCCGACGCAGTGCTCCTCCCACAGAGCCACTGTTTTTGGGCTCAACCTGAACCGAGTGTTTTAACGTCACTAAAGTTTTCCGAGAGCCGAGGACACACTGAAGGCAGCGGCTTTCACTCTGAGCTGGACAGCTGTGTAAATAACACATTTATGTTGACTATTTGGACGTTTTTCTGTTCTTCTTTAACCTTAATTGAAAAGTGTGATTCTATTTCATTTCTTTTTAAAAGGTCTTTTGGTTTTGAATATTTAAGATTTTAATTTCATTTGGCCTTTTTTTGGAATCTTATTTGCATTACAGTGCATCAATTCGTTGGTTGTTTGGTCTGTAGATAGTCTTGCTTCGTAAAAAAAAAAAAAGGTATTAAACTATAGACATTTGTTTTGTTTTTTTATATATAAACATTATAGATATATATTTATGTGGTACAGAATGGATATAAACCACAGTTTGATTCCTTTGTTTTTCATACTCATATATATACGTAATGCATATAACCTGTCTTTAAAATCGTACAAGTGTATATTGCTTTATTCACTTAGGGGGAGGTCAGTGAATCCTAACGAACGCAAACAGGATTGCAGAGTTGAGTGACTGTGCCTCTCCCGCAGCAGTGTGCTATGCATTCTCGTTCTGATCTGCGACTGCTTTCTTTGTGTTTGTAACATGAGCTGCTGTGGGTGGGGGCCACAGTGGAGCCGGGTGCACCTTCAGACTTGTGTTGTGCTTTTCCAAATGATCGCTTTGATTTGCTCTGACCAAACTCCAGGGTGGCCCCCACCCCTCTTATCTCAATTCTTAATGTGAGAATGATTATTTATTTAAACTTGTATAGTCTAACTTGGTTCACATTTTGGAATAGAATATCTTTTGAGTATTTAAAGAGGATGTACGTGTTCTTTACTTTGTGTTTAAATACTTTTTCATGTTCAGTACATCAATAAATATAAGTTGAAGGGCAATGCAGTTTTTGGTGTATCCTTTTCCATCTGCTTTCTTCTTCTCCACTGTCCAGGGCCGAAGCTCTTTTAAAAACGATAGAGCACAATGGGTTTGTCTACGCAAGAAAATTTTACATTATCTATGGTATTTAAATCACACTCTGCAACTGTAATGTCGCATTTCTATTAAGGAAGAATTGAGGCATCTCTTCTTTTTCCCGTGGTAAATACTTTGGATCTCAGAGATGAACATAGTGATAGTTTTGAAAAAGCTAAATCTGAAATGTTTTTAAGTTTAAATAAGAACATTTTCTAGGCATGCCCACCGCTTGGTCGTCTCCATGGAGGTGTTTTTGCTTTGGGTTTCGCTGAGATGGTCCAGAGTAAAAAAAACGTTGCTTTTATCTATCCATAGAGACGAGCAGGTGACACAATTAAACTAAGTTACAATTCAGATCTGTGGAGCGGTGACCCACTCTGTTCACAGTGAGAACGCATGTTTTTCCATGTATTTTGAGGAGTAAAAGCGCGAGGTGTGAAAACTACACAAGGGAACCGTTTTCAAGTAAATATAACAGTTCTCACCACCTATTTTTAAGGAAGTAAAAGTGACAACCCTGGCAGATCTGGTTTACAGTCATAGTTGCCATGCGTTGGGGAAACAAGTTGTCATAGTAACAGGAGTTGGTAGTTGAAATTCAGTCAATATTTTTTATTTTTTTTCTGCAGAGGATGTAATATCTGAGAGTAGCATGTGCCTCAATCGACCCAGTAGGCAAAACATCACCGAGGGACCCTAATAAGGAAACGTGTACTGTACCTTGTTGACAAAATTCTAATTTATTTTACACTAGATATTAGTAGGGATGTAACAATAACTGAAATATTTCTCAGTAATATCATGGAGTGTCACAATATATCAAACTACAAGTCTCTACTTAAATTCATTGTTATGGTGCAGCAATAGCTAAAAAAAAAACAGGGAACTACATAGACCATGATCCTTTGGTGGCGTTAATAGAGACTTAACATTAATAACGCTTTTAAATCTTAATTGTACTGTTCAATATCAATGTTTTTAAGTAGCATATTCAGTTTTGTTAGTCTCCACAAATATCACTATAAATATCATACCGTGAGATGCATATCGTGAAAATATCGTATTGTCAAATTTGGATATCGTTACATCCATAGGTATTAGTGTTGTCCTGATACTAAGGATTAAACTTGATATTTGATACAGATTTCGATACCACAATGATTAAAACAAACGCTTTATTTAGACATTAGAAAGTAATTTATTGTAAATTATTGCACTTTCTTTTACACTACATGTCCAAGTAGGTCCAAGTTAGATGGACTATTGACGAGGGTAACCATATCCAAATCTCTCAGTATGATATTTCAACGATATGAATCTCATGGTACAATATTTATTATGATATTTTGTGGAAGCTAACAAAACTGAATTCTTAAAATGTCTAGACAAGACCTAATCCAGAGAAGTAAGATTTCAAAGTGCTTATAACTTCTTATTACTTCTTTATGTAGTCTGCACTGAAACAGAGCAAAGGATCATGGTCTTTGTAGTTCCCTCTGTTTTTTTTTTTTTTTTTTTAGCAATTATTGAACCATAACTGTTAATATAAGCGAAGAGTTCTGTCATTATTGTGGGACTTTTGGCGATACGATATCACGATAGTTCGGTTATTGTTACATCCCTAATATTCACGCTTATGTCCCAAACCAATAAGACGTTTGGAAACATCCGATGACAACTTCTGGTGTTGTTCCCGACACTGGGCTCGCCGAATGACTGTGATAAAACCCATTGACGTAAATGTGATCAGCGATAAAATGAAGACTGCTGTTTGGAATAATCTTGAATTTGGCGCCTCATCTTTTATAATCACATGTACCCAGAGCGCTCGGAGTTGTTTGTCAGTGCGGAAATGATGAAAACTGAGGTGTGGTTGTAATTGTCGATTCGCCGAACATAACGGAACGCTACAATAACATGGAGATGAAGAAAACTGGGCCATTTTCTCATTTTTCTCAGATTTTGACACACTACCCTGAACAGAACCCGCCAGGAAGTTGTCATCGCATGTTTCCAAACGTCTTCCTGGTTTGGGACGTAAACGTGAATAGAGCTTATAGTGATCAGAAATCCTAGTCTATGTGGTCTTATACTTGCTCTGATACAGCTCAAGATCAGTACAAATAATTATAAAACTATTCAGGGAAGGTTCATTTCTGTCATGTGACTTTTCTAGCACTGATAGCTTCGATATACTAGTTTTATCATTGATTTATATCTGATTTTTCAATACTTTTAGCAATGCATCACCCAGGGACCCTGATCTAGATCTGTATTCGGGGAAAAATATTTATGATGCAATATTATATGCTTTAAATTCATTTCAAGTGAGGCGAGGTGCAACATAGTTCGTCTAAAACTCACTGGCCCTATCTCGCAATGTAAAGAATGTACTACCTCCGACCTGAACTTAGAATGGAAAACTGGACTATACCTTGTTGACAAAATTCAGGGTCCTTTACTTTTTATTTTCCCTTTTTACATGAGCGTTACTTATAAATATATTTGTTTACGACCCGAATCTCTCTCGAATGTCAACACTTTTTATCGTGAATGTCATTTTCTTTAGAGTTTAAAATTATCTCAATGTTAAGAATGCAAAAGAATACGGTTGTTGAATTCAGTGGACTCTACTAAAAATATTTGGATTATTTGTCTGGTCAGACTAGGAAATACTTTTCTATACGTCAAAGTTTTCCGTGTACAGCAGCAGTGCAAAAAATGATAACTCGACAAATTGAAGAACTGTTTTTGAAGACTTTTAATACCAAAATACAGTTATTAAGCCATTATTTACATATTTTGTTTAGTTTTCTTAAAATTTCTTAAATTTAAAAGATTAGTTTTAAACCCAATTTTTTTTAACCCGCTTGGAATTTCAACCACATTTCGAGAAAAGTATACACATTTTTTTTTTCGAAATTTGGTTAAAAAATCTCCCAAACGAGTTCATTATTTTTCTTTTATCAGTCGTTAAAACTGTACTATGTCACTTTTTTGGTCTTCCACAGTCATCTCTTTCTCACGGAGACTAGCAAGGGACACCACCAGGCCAACTTACTTACAGGTCAGATCTATGGAGAGGAGAGGAGGGCCTGCTCACAACAGCGCAAGTGTTTTCGAGCGATTGATTTTGATTTAATTGAATATTTGCACGATGGATAAGTGGAACACCATACTGTGGAAATGCAATAACATCTCCACGGTGACGAGCAGATGGCAAACCCAGCCTCCATGAGAAAAGTTACGTAATGCAGCTTTTAAGTCTCAAATACGTTTTAGTTATATTTGTTTGATTTAGTTTGCAAAGGTTTTTTATTGTTGCAGAGTCGGTCTCAAGCGCAAAGACACGACTGCAGCAGATAAAACCAAACACAAAACATTACCACTGTTATTGCTGTATCCGTGGTAACCTATATTTAAGGTAGAGGTGTGTTGCTATATGGGCCAGAGGATAAATAAAACATGGACCGATCCACATGTGCTGATGTAGCAGCTAAACACATTTGCATACGCTCTGTCTCCTTTTTGATTTATGATGCCACCTTTTCTGTTACAGTACGACCTGCAACGTGGAGATTCTTCCGCAGTTGCAAGTAAAAAACTTTGTCTCTGAAGTACTTTTTGTCAGGACTTTCCCTTCTGGCTGGGTTTGATCCTGGTTAAAGGTACGCTGTGGAACTTTTGTCCGTGGAGACGTCTTTGCCTGAACTGTAAGACATTAAAGAGCACATACAGTATTACGCTGTTTTCCGATCTCTGTTATAATGTTGTTTCCTCATCACAAACAAACCTGGAGCATATTTAGGCTGAGTTCGTCTCTCAAACATGCAGTTCCACCTTGTGATGTCATATGGTAATACAGGAAGTACTTCAGTGGCCACGTTTACATGATGTTTTTAAATTCTGAATTCATTGTTCCGAATCAAACAGTTCGGAATTAAAATATTCTCCTTCGAGTTTACACAGAAATAATAATTCCAGATTTCCATTACAAGGAAAACACTTGAAACTGGCTTTATTTAATTCTGCTCAACGTCTGGGGGTGGGGAAGGGTTCTGATTAAGTTAACATCTTCCAGAAGAAAACACACACTTCAGCTGCTACCGGCTTTTCTGTCATTTCGGTTTGTCGTTACGCCACAGATACAAACATGATACAAACTTTTTTCGCGGTCGTTCTGATGATTATAAAACAGCAGCTTCAGAATTATATCATCACTCTTTACATCTGTCAGCTGAACTTCGTACTCTCCTTGTTCAAAATTTTCCACTACCTCTTTGAAAAGGTTCGTGTTTTTATGCTTTCTGCCATCCACTCTTTTTAATATTTGTAGTTCTCCCAGCGCACTTATTTAAAAAAATGTATTTGGTTCGAGACCAACATTTGCTCAGGGCCTAGTTTTTGCAGTGCGTCATCGCATCAGAAGGGCGACCCAACAAACATTTGCTGAACGACCGGAATTATTTTTAAGAAGAATAAACCTCTACATGATCGAGGAATAAATTAATTCGGCTTTAAAATCAGGAGTAAACCATGCACATACTTCAGAATTAAGCTTATTCAGAATAATCCTTAGGAATTGAGTGTTTACATGGTCTTTTTAAAGCAGAATAAATTTTTACTCCAAATTAAATTATTTTTAATCAGAAGTAAAGCTCTCATGTAAACGTGGCAACTGTGTTTTTAAACTCTGTACACCTACACTAGAATCATTTGGATGATTTCAGCCCTGGAATTGCCAGTCTCTACTGAACTAAAAGTAAAAGGAGCTGTTATTAACTTGGAAAAGTACCACTACATGACATCACAAGGTGGAACAGAGCATTTTGAGTTACGCAGATGTAGACAGACTAATAAACCAGGATTATTCGTGTGTGTGAATGAAACAAAACACAACTCTGGGTATGTTTTTGAGGAG